AATTTGCTTATTCTAGGCACCTCATATAAGTAGATGCACATAATATTTGTTCTTCTGTTTCTGGATCACTTACTAAGCATAAAGTTTTCAAAGTTCATCCATATTGTAGCATGTATCATCATTTCATTCCATTGTTATGACTTAATAATATTCCACTGTATGTATATACCATATTTTGTTTATCCATGTATCTGTTTATGGATACTTGGGTTGTTTTTATCTCTTGGTCATTATGACTAATGCTGCTATAAACATTAGTAATACAAACATCTGTTTGAGTGCTTTCAGTTATTATGGATATATATTTAGGAGTAGAATTACTGGATCATATGATAGTTCTATGTCTAAAAATATAAGTGCTTTTTTCCTCCTGGTTCTAACTCTTTTCTAACTCTTTTAGCAACACCAAGGAAGGCCAGTCTCTCTTGATCTGAATATGCTGTAAACATTTGAAAAGAGCTATTTTTGTCCTTCCTAACCCTTCTTTTGTCTAAGCTGAAAGTGATACAACTTTTGGGTGGGAACCCAAATGTAAGATCTTATATCAGCCCCTGCTACAGTTCACTTTATTGCTTTCATCAATTAGTTAATTCTTTGAGGATATCCAAATATTTATTCTGGCATCCAATTCATTAGACACTTCTCCCAAGTTTATGTCTTCCTGCCTTTGAAATGCACTGAGAAAACACTTAAGAATTATAAAAGCAGAAGTAATCTTTATTTTCTAGTTTTATGAATAATCAATAAAAGGATGGTGAAGATAAAAATTATTCAATCCACTTTTTAAATTTCTCATGTAGATCCATTAGAAGTGTTTACATTTTAATTTTATTAATTTTTAAGAGAAAATCTCTGGTTGATATTGCGTTAGTTGACCTGAATATCATATCACAGTATAGGACATCCTTGCACCTAGTAAGTAGGTAATAAAGGCTTTTTATAAAAAAGGGAACATTGGCCTTTCTCCTTCAGATGTTTTACTGAGATCAGATCTCTCCATTTTAAAGGTACCCATGATTATTGTGTGGCTACTCTTACGCCCAAAGCTTTGACATCGGTTGTTTTCATTCCTGGGATTCTGCTAAAAGTAAATGTATGTTACATCTGTGTAGTCTACTATGATAGTTAAAGAAGACAAAGTGATAGTCTGCCTACCTTTATAAATTGCTTAGTCATTAAAGCTCAAATAAGAATATCCCTATAAAATATTTAAATCCCTTACAGGCCCAATGTGGGGAAGAAAAAAAACCTTTTCTTAAATATCCTTCTAGAATCTTCCTTCAAAACAGTTGTCTGGTAATCTCAGTATTGGCATGGGTGGTTCATTAATCTTACAGAAGGCCTAGGTCTTCTGGGTGGACCAAAAAAGAGTTTAATTAAAGGGTATATCTCCTGGTTGAGTGTTTCTTATACATATGTTGAAGAAGAACATTTGGGGGGGGGGTTAAATTTATTTGAAAATATCTTATTAATTTTTTTGTCATGTGGGGAAATTTTCAAACTTGCTAAAGATATTATACACTCTGTTCACACTATGGTTTCTCTCATTTCTGAAAGAATTATATTCCAATTAATTTTTTTACTCTTTTAATTTAACCTCACATATTCATAATATTTTTAAAAACATTAACAAAATAACTTTTTGAGAACAGGATATATCTTTTGGTTTATAAACTGCGCAGGTCTTAATTGACAAATCACTAATATCATCACAATTTGCAAGTGATTTACATTTGCAGAACTGCAACCAGCTCAAGAAAAAAATGCATATGAAACATTTCAATCATTCAGATAAGTAAATCTTGGTGTTGTGTGTGTGTGTTATTTAGTTTTAATGTTGTTCAATTACAGTTGTCCCCATTTTTCCCCCATCACTCTCCCCTGTCCTACCCACCTGCCACCTCCCACATTCAATCCTCTGCCACCCCCCCGCCGTTGTCTTTGTCCATGGGTCCTTTATACATGTTCCTTGATTTGACCCTTCCCCTTTTTTCCCCCATTGTTTCATCACAGAGTACCTATCCTGATTTGGGATAAGATTAGTCATCCTGTATTAATTTTTATTAAAAAGATTGTGAGGAAAGTGACTAACAAAGTGACCCTCCCATCTTGCTGACAGAATTCCACTTTAATTTCCCATTTCAGCTATCCCCTGAGAACTAAATTACTGTTGGAATATGGATCAAGTTTGATTTTTCTTTCTCCACATGACAGCCCAGTGATTAATATATGCAATGCACATGTACAATTAGGACACAGCTATTTTGTTGGTGGTGATGAAGAGCAGAATATTTGGTATTTTGCATTGTACCTTCCTCCTCTCTTTCTTATCCCCACAATCCCATAATTGCTATTATTTTCAACTCAAAAGTCAGCTAAAGAAATAAGAAACAACAAAATATAAGTGGAAATGCTAATTATTCTGCTTATTTTCCTTGTAAATAGCTGAGAGCACTGTTGATCAATTTCTTATGGCTTGTTTTACAAGTGATTAACTGCCTTTACTAAATACTATTCTCCAAAATCAGTGATTTTCAACTGGTGTACTGCAAGAATTTCTAAAACATGTGATGCCTGACTATCTAGTCAGGGACACTGACCTCTTTTCCCTTCGCTTGTCAAATAAAAAAAAAATGACAATAGCCAACACAACAATAAACATCCAGTGTGAATGTATCAAAATTATATCTATTTTTTGTCAGGTTGGCAAAAAACATTTTTTTGGTGTGCTGTAGAATTTTAGAAATTAGTTTATGTGTACCATGAGATGAAAAGCATTGAAAAATCTCTGCTCAAAATTATGATTACAATATTTTCATTGAAAGAACTGTAGTAACTTCTATTTTGTGTATTTGAATTGAGTCTCCTCTAGCTCCCTCCATCCCTCCAACTACAACAATTGTCACTTGGCTGGGATATCTATTAGCAAAGTGGGATTTAAGATATTTGTTTAAAATAGTTTGCTGCTTTGTGAAAACAGGGGCAATTGGAACAGATTAAGATTAAATGGCACTGGAAGAGTTGGGCTAGTTTGATGAACAGAAAGCTGGAGTAGAGTTGACTTCCTGGCACTGCTCTCTTAGCAAAGAGAACAATTTTAATCAGTTACAAAAATATTTGGGATCCATATGTTTCTCTCTGCTCATTCCCATATGCCCATATTCGCTTTTATCTTGGTGGATGATGACTTTATGATTCAGGCATGCAAGAATAATACCTCGCTGGCTTCAGAGCTCAGTGCTATTTCAAAACATGCCCTGGTAATTACGCACACACATATATCCAGGCTGTTCACGCTTTGAGTTGGTTGAGTGGATGGCAGTTTGTTCTTTCTCTTTCTTCATGGGCAGAAGTATATCTTGCATCCACCTACTGGGGCTGGAGTAATGCGACTAGGTTTAGATTTGAAAATTGCATTGACGTTCGCCTATTGGATTAAAGGCCACCGTATAAATATGAGGATCAGAGAAAGGAGGGAAAAAGGTTGCCATGATCATTGACAACTTCATTTTCTTTGGAAAAAGGAAACAGAATTCGAAAAGCATTTGGTAATTCCATCCGTTACGGGTGCCTATTCTAAGACATATTAGATAATGGCTGGTTACTTAAACAGACTCTAATTTTAAGCCGTATTGACTCCTATTTAATATTGAGTGTTAGTCATAGTAGTTACGGTGAAACTGGTCAAAGAAGAAAATTAAAACTACTGTTGATTAACCATCATTTTTGTTTTAAATGAATGTTTGCTTATCTCTCAATAAGCTATATAATATCTAACAACAAAAGAAACATATTTCAAAGCCAAATTATCCATTTTAATAAAACATGAATAAAGCTGGAAATGATTGACTGTATAAGTGACTGCATTTTCAAAAGTTGTTTTCCTCTTGCACAACAAATGGCATTGTAACCCAATATGTTGTTAACATAGCCACAGTAAAATCCGCTGAGGAACCAGCTGTGCTCATTTAAACTTGGGAGGGGGGCAGCGAGGAGGAGGCAGAGAGGGTTTCTGAACTTCAGACCAAATAACTGAGACGCATTTATTGCTTTCAAAGATGGACACGTGATGGAAGAGGCGTGCATGCTGTTGGATTGAGCAGGTGTGCAACGGAGCAGAATTGCAGTGAAAGGAGACTGATGCAGCTTGGTTTTGGCAAATGTTATTAGTGATCTGTCTCTATGTTTGCATTCAAGCTGTCTTTGCCTCTGCTCCTGTAGGAGTGGTGAGAAAAAGAAAGTACACATTATAGCATGGATTGTTTTCAACAAGCTCAAAGTTTGCAAATCTGCTGAATCCCTCTGACAGCATGCCTTTGCTGTCAAACAGAATGCCCAGCTGGCGGGGGCAATCCCGCTGGGGTAGGAGGGGCCCTGAGACTGTGTGCACCCTGTGTGCAACAAGAATATTAGGGATGCTTCTTCCCAAACTGTAAGCGGAGAGGAAAGGGCTCTCAGACATGCCATTGTGAACCTGCTCTTTTTTACTCTATAGAAAATGCCTCATTAAACCGAGATCTTTACATACGCTTCATTAGGATAACTTTCATAAAGAAAGGAGTCACGGAAATATTAAGGTCTATTATGTGAATCTATAATTAAGACCGAGGCTTTGGTTAAAAAAGGAGGCAAGACTTTTGCTCATAGGTGATCCAGATTCTCATTGAGGCAAACAGACAAGCGCTCTGTCTCTCTTTTTTTAAAATATAAAGTGAGAGATTTCACTAAAAAAGGTTAAAATTGAAGTGAGTAATCTTCAGTGCATAATGCAATTGTTAATTTTAGCTCCTTGCGTGGGTGCCGTTCTGACTTGAACAGCCGGCTGTAGCCTTCATTAGAGAAGAAGCAGGCAGCTTGAGACAGGTGGAGCTGGATCAAGCTGTGAACGTGATTTTGCTGGAAGCTGGTCATTAGTGTTAGAAAACTGGTCTTATTTCTTTCGTCCTTCACCCTACCATGATTATTGCAATTCTTATTATTGACATCTCATCTTTTTTCAGGTTGACGATGTGTCAAACTGTGTAAGGGAATCGCATGGACATGGGCATTCCGAACTGTTAATGGGGACATGGGACTCCAGTTACCTCTGATCACTTGTGTGGATTTTCCCGGTGTAGAACGACAGAAGCCGCTAGTAAGTCGCCAAGACCTACAGCAGGAATTCTGCGCAAAAGGTAAAAAGTCTTGTTGTCTGGCTGTCATCTCATCTGTATTTGTTATTGTTATATAAATGTGCCTGTTGGCATAGGACAGTTCATTCAGTGTAAACAAAACAGACAGGATCTGTATTAGAGACTCAGCTGGCTTCTCGTTTGCACAATAGAACTCAATTTGTTCGTTCCATTTTCCATTTTAAATCTGGTCGCGATCTGTTTTTTTATTGAAATGCTCTGAATAAAAGTTCGGGCAACAGAAGTCCCATCTCCTCCCTCTACCCAATACATTGAGAAACACTCTGTTTGCTATTGAGAAACAGAACTTTTTATTTTGTTAACTATACATATACCCAGTTTCACGGGAAGAAGAGAAAGCTGTCACAATACTCTGGATGGAACAACCTAAAACCTCCCCAAACCTAAAAGCATTGCTCATTAGTCACTCACAGACTGAAACCTCCATCCTTTAAGAAAACTTTTCCACTTTCATTCCCACAATCCTTTGCCAAATGAGCCTTTTAAAGATATCATTAGATACCATCTGTCCTGTCACGGTGGATCTTAGCAAATTTGCAACAGAAATTGCTGTGTTTTAGCTTTTTCTCATATTTCCTATATCCTGTTGGAAATAAAGATACTGAATTAGTAAATGGTAATTAAACACTCCCAGAGAAACATTTCAGAACACTGTTTTGTCCAATAATAATTACCCTTGTAATGACTGGGAACAGAACAGTCACTGCTTGGGAATTTCTGTGAAAAAAACTGACTTTCTAGGCTACAATGTATTTTTCTTTCTTTTTCTTTTTCTTTCCTTCTTCCCATCCCTCCCTTCTTCCTTCCCTCCCTCCCTCCCTCCCTCCCTCCCTCCCTTCCTTCCTTCCTTCCTTCCTTCCTTCCTTCCTTCCTTCCTTCCTTTTTTTCCCTCCTTTTCTCCCCTCACATCTTAGGAAAAGAAACTGAGGAGAGAGTAAATGCTAAATTATTCATGAGCCCCATTTGACAGCTCATCAGAAGGGAATGTGTCAGGGGTTGGAGAAAAATGAATAAATAACAAACAGGCTTGAACTTTGAAAGCCACCTCTCGTGTCTGTGCAGTAGCGTATTGAGAGCCCAGAGTAGCGCAGTTCAGTGTGATAACGTCCTCAGAGCTGCTGCCAGAGACTTGCTTCCACGGGATCCCTGCAGCACCAGCTGGGGGAGGCTTATGCTTTGAATAAGGTCACTGTCAGCTGGCAGCCTGAAAGTGTTGGCTCTGAAAGGTTTTGTGCACAACTTAGATCCTATATTTATACTGAATTATTATCTCTTAAATTGATTTTTTTTTTTGCCCCTTGAGGAGCATACTGTGTTCTTCATACCTAGAAAAGTATGTCTATGGTTAAAACTTGCAGATAATTTTTGAATCATCCTAAAGGTGCTACAGAAGCCCAATACCACCCCTTGACTCAGAAGTGCAGGGGTCATCTGTTCAAGAGTTGGAGAAATATTCTTTCTTTTTCTTCTATTTTGTAGTGGGGCACAGGGACTGTTAGATGCATGTATGTGTCTCTGTGTATTTGTTTGCCCATGTCGATGGCACAGTGTGGTCACAAGTGCATGTATTTATGGGGCTGTGCAGAGGGCAGCCAGATCTGCCCCTGGTGCTTGCCTTGGGTACTTGCTGTGATCTAATTTTATTCTCCTTTTGTGTAAAATTGGCAGAGATGCCCAGGCTGCTCATTTGAGTTTGAATAGAGGAGAAGAAATGAAAGGTCTCAAAAATAATGGTAGACACTTCACCTGGCTCTAACTTCATTTTCTGGCATTGTCATCTTGCAGGGCATCAAACCTTGCTGTTTTAATTTGCGTCTGAAAGAATGTCTGAGCCAGGGGACCTGAATCAGGCCATAGCAGAGGAAGGCGGGACTGAGCAGGAAAGGGCCACTCCAGAGAATGGCATCGTCAAGTCGGAAAGCCTGGATGAAGAGGAAAAGCTGGAACTGCAGGTGAGCCGGGGAAGACTGTTTCTCAGACCCTTGTGTACAGTCCTTTCTTTTCATTTTTAAACTACTTTGAAGGTTTGTTTTCTTAAAAAAAAAAAAAACAACCCAACATTTATATTAGTAAAATGAATAGGAAATCTGTAAAGCTAATCCTTTTCTTTCTGACTAAATTGTGCTCTAAAATGCCCTTTGAAATGAAAAATATCCAAAGAAGATACTAGAAGAATTTGCACACAGCATCTCCATACTAATTTCTAGCTCACCTCAAGGAGTTCATGGAAGGCTTCTCCCAAGGCAGCTTTAGGCAAGCTAAGTTTTAAAATGGATTTGCTATTTCAGGGGAAGATGAAGACTCCGCTCATGGCAGACTAGGAAAAGCCAAAGATGTGAGCTAAGGTTTGATTCTCATTACCAAACAAAGTCCTAGAATTCTCAGCCAGAAATAGGGGTGGGGGGAGAGAGAGAGAGAGAGAGAGAGAGAGAACTACCAGGAGGAGGGGGAGACTGGAAGTGATTGAGGGTGATTGATGATACTGAAACAGTGACATGATTAAATACATCATGAGTTACACAGAAAAAAAAAAAAGATTTAGTAGAGGAAAAACAAACTGTATTGGCAAATAGCTTGTATGGATTTCCTTTGGACCAAACTACAAAAGTGTTAACTCTTTTTATATACCAGTAATCAAAGGCAAATACCCATATAATGGCCCAAAGCCTTCAAGGTCAGTTTTTCTTTTCTCTAAAGGCTTCAAAAAGAGAGAAGGCTACAAGTTCAATGGTCAAAAGTTTGGGGGAACAAGGGAAGGGGAACTGGGAGTCCTCTCAGTACTTAGAATGCCTTTGTTGCTGTTACTGTTGATTTCTCCCCTATAAGGTCACATTTTGCATCCCTCTCTTCCTCTCTCCCTCTGGTTGTACATTTACTGTTTGTTTCTTTTATTTTGCTTTATTTTATTTCCACCATACAGAGGCGGCTGGCGGCTCAGAACCAGGAGAGAAGAAAGTCAAAGGTAGGGTTCTGGAGATTCTATGTAGAACTGATATCATGGATATCAATTGCATATTTTACATCTGAGTTCAAGGATTTGCCAAAAATTCAGAGAGCTGTGTGGAGATACTGTGGTGGATTTGGGCTGCACTGCCCTCTTTTAATGGGTCTATCTTCCTTTCTCGATCTGAATGCTTTTCCATTAGAGCATGTAAGGTTCACAAATCTGCAAATGTACATGTGTGATCCCACGCTCACATGTGCACATTTGACAGCGCTTTACAAAACAAGCAGCTGCTCATTTTGTTTTCATTGTAAGTAAAATTTGGGGTGAATGTTTTTCTCCCAATTGATGTCCTCCTTGAAGTAAACAGGGGCTGGTGTTTAGGACACGTTCTTTCATCTGTTCTAAGCGTCTTCTCAGTTACGTTGCTTCCAAACTCTGTATTAGTAGGCATTATTTTCTGTCACCTTTTTCTTCCGGCATTTTCATGAATTGGCAGCTGTTCATTCTTCTTGCGTTTCCAACATGGTGGGCACAATGTGCTGAAAGTGTTCCCTAAATCCATCTACTCACATGACCCCTTACCTTTGTCCCCATCCACAAAGGGGTCTGATGCTTGGAGAGCCGATGCAGACAGCACTGAGCAGCTTACCTGAGGCTCAGTTTTAAGATCTGATTCGGGGTTCACCGGGGTCAGGTGAAGGTGGAGATGATTCGATGGCCTGAGATTGTTTTGTTTGTTTTCTTTATTTTCTTTTCCACCCCTCTTCTTTCCCCTTCCAAGTCAGGAGCAGGAAAAGGTAAACTGACACGTAGTCTTGCTGTCTGTGAAGAATCCTCAGCCAGACCCGGAGGGGAGAGTCTCCAGGATCAGGTATACCCCCTGTTACTCTCATTACTTGCATGAATGGGACCCAACTTTGTGTGCATGGGCAGTGATCTGGCATTAGACAGTGTGTTGGGGGAGAAAAAAAAGGTACCTGGAGAAAGAAATCACTTCTGGTTTTATCCCCTGCTTATGAGACATTCTAAACTAGTGTCACAGTTTGTCACAGAGTATTACATTTGTTTTTTTTCCAGACCCTCTGAAAACTGCAAATGGAAAGGAATTCAAAAGAATTTAGATTAAAACTTAAAAAGTAAGCCCGGTAGTGCTGAATTTCCTCAAAGGCTCTCTGTTGGCCCTAAGTGTCCCGTCTTCTTCCTTATGGGAGATTCTTACCTCTCACCTCCCCAAAATGCATTTGCCTATAAGAATCATAACCCTTGGCTATAATCAAACTTTAGAAAGAGTGAAAAAGGTGCACTGAGTTTTGCAGAAATACTTCTATGGCCTTTAGTGGGGATGTCTCAATCCTGGAAAAATTATTTAGGAATGAATTTGAGCTGATGGTGAATTTCAGTTAATATTATTAATACGTCATTGCCTATCCTTAGAGTTATTGTTGCTAACTTACAGCAAGACAATTAGGCTCTAAAAATTGAAATTCCAACAAAACCCTTTTGTGACAAAATGGGAAACTTCACATCGTATTTACTTTTGTTTGCCTTTTAGGCATCATATTAGCTTTTATTAAAATAGTCTTGCTACTGATATTTCCCTTATTTTATCAGAGGCTTGGAGCAGGCAAGACAAAAGAAAAATGATTTATCTGAGCCCAGGGGAGGGAAAATTGATTTAAGATATCATTATTTTTGTTGGGTCTTGTTTTGCTTTTCTCTTTGTACTTTAATTGAAATACTCTAAATTCTCCTCATGGTTACAGAGAGCATTGAGAGCACTTTCTTTAAAAGGACCAAAAATAAATTCCTTACAGGTTTTGTCCTAAAATTTTTTTTTTCCTAGCCTCATTTTCTCAAACTGCCGCTCATGTCGTAAGGCATGGACAGGCTACCTTTCTGTAGCTATCACTGTATTTCATACATAAGCTTTATTTTCCTTGGGTTCTGAGAAATGTGTGGCTTTTCTTCAGCATTTTATGTGTGCTTCTATTTTTAATGGAAATTGAAAAGAGAGAATCGTGTGAAAATCATGGCTTGTATTATTTGATGTTGACTGATGGCCTGTAATGTACTGCACATGGTATGTGTCAACTCTGCAGAATGAGAGACTCTGGGAGGAGGGATGCCCCAGTTGTCCCCCACTTCAATGCAGGGCAGAGGAGGACAGCCTTTATAGACGTACTCTGATTTTTATTCCATTCGGCAAGGTACCAGGAGGAAATTTTTTAAGAGATCATCTGTATCATAGTGCCCATCCTGGACCTAAGTCTAGTTTCTCCATACAATTGGTGCAGAGAAATAAGATGCAAACGGTGCTTTGCTCCTGCTGGTTCCAAGTTCAGTAACCAAGACGAGCTTTGCAGGAAAGAATTAGAGCTTGCAGGCCTCTCTTTGGACTGGCTGAGAGGCGGTGGGAGCAGGGGGCTGCTAGAAAATACCCAGATGCATGTAGAAGCAAGTGGCCATGATAGTCTTTAGAGGATAAAGAAGCAGACCTTTGAGCTTACATGCAATGCCTTCATTAGCTGCCACTGGCACTTAAAAAGTGTGGGATATGAATCCCAGGGTATGAGTACAGTGTATGGATTGTATTGCTTCCCAAATGTTTGTATATTCACAGTATTTGGAAAACTGCCTTCATTTTCCTGTGTGGGAAAAACTCTTGCTACCTGTATTACTTGATCTCAGACCCATAGTTGATGGTTCAGTCTGTCCTTAAGTTAAAGGAGATTTGCTTTTCTAATGTTATACTCTTTATCTATCAGTGTATTGCTGCAACTTGAATCATTCTTTTACTATTGTTGGACATAAACTTATCCTGTACCAATGTATTTATTAACACTTGTATTTTATTATTGAGCATATCAATAAAAATATTAAAAAATAACAGATTGTTTTTTACCAACTCTATAGCACTTTTGTGTGTTCTTTCAACACCATGATGTATATTTATGTATAGAACAGATAGGTATTTTTCTGAGTATAGTATTGTTCCACACATGGCCTGAATTTGTCCATTTTTAAAATAAATGATATCCTTTAGCTTCTGCTCTTACATGTATGTTTCCAAGCCTCTTTGATTTTATATTTAAACTTATGGAGGCTGGATGGTTCAACTGGTTTTGAAGAAGCAATGAGACCACCTTCATGGACTAGTACCCTCAGTTTCCCTACCTGATCAAATGTCAAACTGATTTTTCCCACCCCCGCCCTGTCTTCTGAACCAGAAATGTTCCAGCTGTTTTCTTAGCAAGTAGAAGCAAATCATAACCTAAAATCTGCCTGAAGCTTTGCAGACTAAGACATTTCTGTCCCAAATCAAGTGACAAAAGACCTATAATCAAATTACACTTAGCGTTACATATTTTGTTTATGTTCATTTCCAGAATAAACATGTTAAATATCAGGAAGTCAGCTAAGATAAATATATATCATGAGAAAGCATTTTGTTTCATCTTCTATAGTACATCTTTCCAACCATGGTGACTTTTTGTTCCAGCCATGAATTCACGATGGAGCCCCTCCCAAAAAAGGAACTTGGCTTTGAAGGACTTTGACTTTATACTTGTTAGATTAAACAAGTTAACCAAGAGCCATTAAGAATCCCAGATTGGCCATAATTTGAGGATATACAGACATCAATTTAGTCACATGTAGATGAGCACTAGCTTAGTTTTCAGTGAAAAACACTATTAGTCATTGGGAATATTTTTTCCCCTACATCATAAATTTTAATGTCACTAGTGAAAGAAAGCTTTCCCATCAAATGATCTCTTACATAAGAGCATGTGGGCTCAATGTTGGCTAATTTGTCATAGTTTTAATCATAGCATAGGTTTTTCATAAAACTAAAAAACATAATTTGGTTCATTCTTCTTCAAAACAGTGAACATACTATCAAGCAAATGGCTAATATATGAGTTATTACAAAATGATTCATTGTTGGTACAAAATAAATAAATATAAAAGCAGATTCAGCCCAAACACTGTAAATGATCAGTCATACCAAGCATCAGCCCAAGAGAATCTTACATTCTGAAAAGGATTAACTGATACTAAAATTAAAATAATATTAAATATTTATATATAATTTATGGGAAATGTTCTATTTGCTACGCTTTCTAAATGGCCATGCTTATTGTACTATATATTATGATGATTTATTAAGGGCATTTATAAACAATGTGTGACAATAATCCATACCTAAGATTCCTGCAATGAATACAGTTTGGCTTTTCTTAGTAGTAAAAATCATTGTTGGTACAGTACTAACATCGACTTTTTATTGTAAATTGGCTATTAGGACCTTTATTTATGTCTGTTCTATCTGTAATTATGATTCGTAACATCTGTCTGTTTGTATTTGTGCCAATTTATCCTGACAAGGAATTAGAGAAAAGAACTGGAGAAGCCTCCCTTTTTTTTGAGACATGACACTGGCTATATGCAAGCTTATTGGTAAAGCAGTTTTTCCTAGGTGATTAAAATAAACCTGTAGAGAAAATAAGAACTGTGATCTACAGGAAAGTGACTTGCTTAAGGTTAATAATCATGAAGCAAAGTTTTAGTACTAGGTGTTTCTCATGGCCTCCCACTGACTTCTGAACTTTAATTCACCTTAAAGGGCAATTATTTTTTTCTGACAGGTTTTTTTTACCATTTAAGAAAAAAAAAATCTGCACCTGGCTTTCATTTTCCTGTACTTAATAACCTCTATGCAAAATGGAAACCAGACAGAAATTATTAAATCTGGCCCTAAATTATTATATTTTTTCCCCAACAGGAATCAATTCATTTACAGCTTTCCAGTTTTCCCAGCCTGCAAGAGGATGATAAATCTAGGAAAGATGACACTGAAAGAGAGAAAGAAAAGGATAAAAACAAAGATAAATCCTCTGAAAAACCCAAGATCAGAATGTTATCAAAAGGTGAATGTAAAAATGTTTCCTTAACTTACTCAGTTTGGACACATGAAGAGTCACAGAATACATTTTAGGTTTTACATGCTGTTCACCTCCCACCAGACTCTGCATTTAACTCTGTGTGTGTGTGTGTGTGTGTGTGTGTGTGTGTGTGTGTGTGTGTGTAAAAGATGTGAACTTGATTTTTTTTCCCGTTCATGGTTCATGGTGTCATTATTTGTGTTGCCAGAAAGGTTACTTTTTAGGATCACATATTTTCTTGGATTTTCATTTGGATCTCCTAGTTTCAAAGATAAGTTTGTATAAGCAGTGAATATAAATCTGCTCTTGTTTCAGCTTTATTAGCCCCATTAATTTGGATTGATGAACAGCAGTGGTAACCAGTTTTACATCTTAATTTTCATGTTTATCCTAAAGGACAGATAGAGGATTAGCAGTTCTCAGTCCCTTTAAGTGATGTCCCCAAAGCACAGATGTGTGCGTCAGTGCCAACAAGATGCACATTTTACCCGGTGCAGATGAACTGGGCCTGTGCGACCCATATGCTGCCACATAATATCTCCCTTAAAACATATAGAGTTCTACCTCAATAAAGTTTTCCCAGAAAGTCATTCCTTCTAAACCTGCAGACCTACAATCTGGACTTCTCAGATTGTTGCTGTATATAGAATTGTACAGAAGTACAAGAAGAACAAGAAAACAAAAGTAAAAACAAAACTAAATTGAAATGAAGAATGCCATGAATAAATGGCTTTGCAGTAGACCTTTTTTTATATAACTGAGAAAGAATAGGGCATTGGATCAGCCAAGGAATGATGCCTGCTTCCAACAGGATACTCTATAACGGCATATCTGCTTAAAATAATTGTCTTCACTGATGAATATCTAAAACCCAAGATGTACACAGAGTAAAGAAGTACAGGCTCCTAAAATGGTTTTAGAAATTCAGCTTTAGCTAGTATCAGAAGATTCTGAAAGACTTGGAAATATTTAGTATCCTCCGGTATTTTGCACTGATTAATATTCATTCTTAGAGCTTTCCTTTTTTGCATTCTGTGTTTTAAGAGTAAGAGGGTTCCATGGAATCTCGCACTCATGAGGCTCTCTCTGTGGGATGAGAGTACCTGCCACGTGGAGGTCATGCCCTTGCTAATTTAAAGCACAGTACAAACATGTGATATTTGACTCCGCCCACCATCCTCTCAGACTGTGCCTACATCCCCTCCCCCCTCCTATGACGGCTGGGTCCTTCCACGCTCAGGATCTATTGGGTGTTCTCAATCCCTGAATCTAATTTTCATTCTGATGATATACTGCCAGATTGCTCGTTTTGAAATACGTGTCTTTCGTACGAATAGCTTCACCTAAAACTTACCTGAGCAGGAGGGAAACGGGAAAGGTTGGGCCAACCTTTTCGACTCCCCCGCCGCCACCACCATCATTCCTGACAACTCCATCATGCTGTTTGTTTCAGACTGCAGCCAAGAGTACACGGATTCGACAGGCATAGACTTGCATGAGTTTCTGATTAACACGTTAAAGAACAATTCCAGGTAATTCTTAAACAAATCTCTTATTTTTACGAGCGTCAAATGGAATATTACCATCAAAGTCATTAATCCAAATACGTCTAAGGAAGTCGTTGTAAAGTACTGACACCTTCTCTGATGTCTCAAACTATCTCTTGTATTTTCTCTTTTCTGTTAACAGTTTGTGTGTGTACTATTGATAGATAGTCTTAATTCCTGGCTGAAAAAATTATAGTTTACAAATTCTGCTTTCCTGGTCCCGAAGAGTTACTGGTTTAAAAGGGAAAATAGAGAAAGAAAATCAGTATCAGATAAACCAGTGATACTTAGTGCAGTTATATAACTATCTATTTGGGCTTTGCTTTGTTCTAGCTTCCAATTAATTTTAAATATACAATTTATTTGATGTGTTTTATGGGCCTAATACTTTGCATATCCTAATTAACATTAAAACTGTAAAAGTTTCAATATTACAAAATACTTAACCAATTAGATGAGAAATAATTTTAAGTAGAATGATATGTATGACAACATATTCCACAGAAGAGTCAGAAACAGGTTCGTAGCCACATACATTAAAACAATCTTGTTCATACATCCAAATAAACTTATCAGATCTTTGGCAATGGAAACTACATAAAAACCTTTTCATTTTCGCATTTATATTTTGCAGAGACAGGATGATACTCTTGAAAATGGAGCAGGAAATTATTGATTTCATTGGTGACAACAAGTATGTTAAATTGCAATGCTGGTTAATTTATGTGGTGGGTCTTAGTTTGGTATTTAGGTTTAATAATTCATTCTGGAAAGATTTAGGGATAGATAAAACATTGATTAGTATGTTTACTGATTTGTGACATGGAGGTTTTATTGGAGTTGGGAGCTATGTGCTAATGGGAATTGTTGCTTGGACCATGTGAACTCCTGCTTGTTAAATTCCTGACAAAGTGGCTATAAACAGGGGGCCCCTGATTAGCATAGAGGAGCTGTAACAAGAAGCGACCCTTTTCATTTATATTATAGTTTTTTAATGGGCTCCAGCTGGCTGCAGTCAGTTATGCCTGCAAATAATTGTGCTCCCGTCAGTGTAAGCCGTGTAATGACACATCTCCGAATAGGCATCTGCAGTCACCTATTATGTCCCATCATTTGTCCTGTGCCTGGCTCCGTTGATAAGGCATCACGGATGAAAATAGAACGCTCCCCAACAGACATTACATTCTCTTTGGTGAGAGAAACGTGCACCACTGAAACAAAGGTATTTATTGTAGCTTAATCGATACATCTATAGAGCAAGGGGAAAATTTGTCTCAAAATGAGCACAGGAATTGATGCCAGAGACGAAGTGGTTTGGATGAAAGAGAAACGGTTCTGTGCGTGTACCTGTCAAATGTACTTCAGGCCAGAAACAGAAATGCTGATTCCACTTTTTTGGGTACTCTCTTTTAGTAATCATTATAAAAAGTTCCCTCAGATGTCATCCTATCAGAGAATGCTTGTCCACCGTGTGGCAGCTTACTTTGGGTTGGATCACAATGTGGATCAAACAGGGAAATCTGTGATCATCAACAAGACCAGCAGCACAAGAATGTAAGCCCCGTCTCAACATTTATTTATCATTTTCTTTTTCTCTTACGGATTCATTTATAAGAGCACAGTATAAAATGCAAAGTATGTGACATTTAAAATGCGCAGTGTGACTTATCTCTTGTTCTTATCAGCAGTAGTGTGGCATTTATCTGTAGAAGATTGTCTGAGGACCAGGAAAGTTTATAAAATTCAGGCAATAAAGTGGATTTATTCTCTGATCTTTCACATAGCTCTTGAAACATATTTATTCTCCTATCAGTAGTCCATGTGATTATAAGAAAATCCACAGAACATTTTATGTCAAAATATAACCCAAGTTAAAAATAACAGACATTTTAAGACAACAACGACATATGTAGGATAATTGTCTTTTTCTGGTTTGTAGACATCTTACTGTGGCTTCTACAGTAGAAACAAAGCACCAAATCAGGAGGCAGGAATCCTGCCTCTAAAAACCCATTTCTTTACTTACTAGCTGTGTGACCTGAAACAAGGCATTTACAACCTGCCATCCCAATTTTTTTCACTTATAAAATGAGAGTTTTGAATTAGATAATGTCTAAGTTCTAGCTCAGAAAGGAGGATCGTTGTTTTTGGTTCTTAAAAAAATTGTTTGTTTCCATCTTAATATCTTTTTATGGTCCCATTGAGTCACCAAAGGCATAAGATGAGTAGTTTTTGCTTTGGAAATTTGGAGCTGTCTCTCTTGAGCCCAGGTATCTATTTGAGTACAGAGCAAGCCACTTTTACAAGCAAAATACATATTAAATGGAAACAAAACTGTCCAAAGTAAAGCATTCTCTTGAAACGTTTGCTCGTTGTTTGCTCGTTGTAATTTTGTTGTTTTACAGCACGCTTGGTAAATTGTGTAAATTGCATAGTTTTTAGGAATGCTATGGCCCTGAAGTGAACTTTCGTGTCAAGCTAAGCAGCGTGGTTAAAACACTTTATTTTCTGCTCATCAGACGTTGGGACACAGATAAGGATGGAAATGAGGCTCTCTCTCTACTCAAGGACCAGTCTGTGTTCAGCGGAGCTAGAGAGAAGGTCATAGTGGGGGTCTGGGACCGAACTGGGCTATTATCTGAGGGACACTGAGCGCTGCAGTTCTCTGGGCCTCAAATAACTTATTCATCTGCAGAGGAGTTTGAAGTGGATCATGTTTAAGAGCCCTTGAAGCCTCAGAATCATTGGGTCTTGTGGTTGTTCCCTACTTTGCTGGCAAAATACATTTTAACGTTTACCAGCTTCCCACTTTATTTGATTGTTGGCACATGTGCTTCCAATTTTGAACAGTAGTAGAAATGAAAATTCACTGTCCTTTAATTCCTTATCTCTTCCCTCTCCATCAAATTATTGCCAGTTATTGCTATTGCCATTGTTTTTAATTCTCCATTCTGGTTTTCCTATGACTTTTCAGATTCCACAAGGCAGGGAGGGACACCCTGATTGCAAAATAGGCAAGCAATTAATTATTTTCTTTTAGTTTGTTTATCTCCTCTTTCTCTATAAGGCCACAACAGAAAAGCCCCTAGTTCAAGTAGGCTGTTAGATACAGTTTCAACTAGAACAGATGATGCATTTATTTTTAATGCACACTGATTTTGCTACCACATGGCCATGAATATTGGTATCCATGTTTGAGGCCTGTTCTCTTATAGGACTGGCTGCTTTCTGGTTGATAATGAATGGAATTTTTGAGTTGATGTTTGCCATACTGTGTTTTCAACCCTTAGTTCCCTCTCTCCTTCCCCCTATATTTCCAGAAATAGGTTCCATTCTCTAGTACTTTTAGATGTTTTCTATTGGAATTCTTCATTAACTATCAGGTTAGGTGTCAAAACCAAACAAGCCACTTGGAAATCTGAGGCAGTTGTATTAGGGTCTGTGCTATTTTGGTATTATAAATGATGTGTATAATGCATTTACTCTCTATAATATTGCTTTTGTCACTTTCAGGATTGAGGCTAAAAACGTGAACAGTGATTTTATAAAAAATATTTAAATGCAATAAATATGAGTCTGTTTTTATATGGGTTTTTCTTCTCTTTGTCTCTCTGGTCTAACTTTTCTCTTGCTTATTATTCTGTGCATTTAGCTAGGAACAGCTCATGTTATTTTATTAGGTAATTTTTTTTCAGCTCCTTCTCTTTTATTCATCCTAGGGAAAGGCTTCATGTTCAGGGTCTATCATTGAGAGACCAGAAACCATCTACTTGTGCTAGTGTCCTCCAAAGGGCCAGCAATAGTCCCCTGCAAAGCCGCATACGCGTCTGAATGTCTTTGCTTCTGTCAGAGCAACTGTTTAACTAGTCTCAGATAATTTTCATGTTAAAAACTTGTCATCTCTTGAATATTTTTTCTTTTGTCTTCCACATCCACCCACTGTCATTGCCTTAAATCCCCTGCTCTGTAAGTACACAGCGAAGAAAGGAAATAGCAAATCCACCCAAGTAGAGTGGTTACAGGTCCCAGATACCATGAAACAATAGTGGCCCGAAGGCAGAGGTTTGGGGCAACACCGTAAGAGTCTGGTGCTCAAGAGCTCAGTGCCCTGATTCCGGAGATGTGTGGGCCTAGGTATTTGCTTGGTGTGATGCGTGGCATTAGTGACTAAAGTACTTTGCTTGCCTGTTCTGGAAGGGATGATCAACTGAGCTGGCTTTTAGGTGAATCACAAAAACCATAAAACATGTTCCAGTACTAAATGAAGCTTCTCTCCAGGTGAAGCAGTTGAGCCCAAGTGACTTTAAGCATCTTGAAGTGGTGGACAATTATTACACTAAGAGGCAGGATCGGGGGCCCTTCCCCTTCTCAGTGGGCAGCAGTCCATCAGAATCACTGCACATCTATTCTGCTTTGTTTCCTGAAGAGACCAAGGTTTAGAGTGGGAATCTTTGTTCTTTGACCCTTAGGCATTTCACTCCCTTCAAGTGATTAATTGCATTTATACCGGAACAGGAAAAAACACCATGCTTTCCTCCCACCTTTGTAATATTTCTTTCCCTTTGGCTGGGAATATGAGTGGCACCATGAATAGACTGAGCAGCATCCTGATATGGATGCTCACTTAACAGTCCTCTGAAAAAGACCATGTACCTCTTGGAAATCCATTAGTGGCTGGTTGGCATCCTGTCGTTCCTAAACGTGATAAATTTACTTTGCACTTTTTGTAGGACTAGCACTGGAAATCACCTGACTTGAAGTCAAAGGTCCAGAAACCTAGCTAAGAATCGCATTACTCTCAAAAAAATTAGTGGAGTTTCATTTACTGAACAGCTTTAATCAATACTCAGCTCAAAGTAAGACTTATTTGTTAACATTGGTCCAACTCCATATCATTTCTCTCCAATATTATATTTTCTCATATTGTTATTCTCACATTCTTCAGAGACCATAAGCTTCTGCAGATGAGAAACGTAAATCATAGGAATATATTGTATTCCTTTCCCCACTTGAAATTATTTATGAGACTTTGAGTGTCAAATGTGTAATTTATCAATTTTAAAAATGAAACATGCATGTGCTTTCTGTAATGTTAGCATTCTTAATGTAACTGTTTTTTAAAGTTTTTCCACGGAGTAATGATACTTTTTAAATTTTTATTTATTTACCTGACAACATTCTGGGTAGATAAACCCAAACCATTTTACAGGAGCAAAAACTGAAATTCACTGAGTCTTGGTCTTTCTTACCTACTCATCTCACAGAAGACCAAGACTGAGACCTGTGTCCTGGTGCTCAACTGTGACTCTTCTCTCCAGGTCAGGAAAACAAGAGCTAATCTTCTGAGAATCAATACTCTGCCGTGATGATAGGAGCAGGAAGAACCCCAAACACTATTCTTTCACCAGTACCCGTTGCTTTCCTTACAACATCCTAATGTACATTTCATTATTTTAAAAAATGAACAGAGAACTCAATTCAACACTGTTTATGCGAAGATGAATATTAGAACTATGACACCAACAAAGCTCCAGCAGAACCCACTGGATTAGAAATTGTCCTGGCATACTCGGAAGTGAGAGACAACTCACGCTCTTAAACCTTGCCAAGCAAAAAGTACTTCTCAGGTGTTTAGTACCAGGTTATCAACAAAGGAAGTATAGACAATTGAACGTGCCCATCTTCTGTTTATAGTTTATTTGAGGAACCAGCATAATTTTGGTCAGGTCTCGTGTGTGTGTGTGTGTGTGTGTGAATACATTGTGTTTTACAGTTTGGGACAATTTAGAGAAAGGTTCATTATGCATATACATAATGTATATAATAAAATAATATATTATTATAAAATAACATAGGCCATGAACAGATATTTAGAAACTTTTCAGAATATGACTATTTTAATTGTCATAATCCAGTGGTTAGATACAAATCACTTTTAAATTATTAAATTTGTTTCCTATTGTGTGTGGGTGTGTGTGCGCACGTGCGCGCACGTGTTTGTGTGTGTGTGTGTGTGTGTGTGTGTGTGTGTACAGTATTGCCCTAAACACACCATTGTTGTAGAGGAAACAGGATTACTGTGGCTTGGTTCTTCTGTCTGCAGCTGTGCTTGCTGTAAGCAGCAGAGTGTCCCTGGAATCCCGAGAGCTTTATGGCTTCTATGTCATGGAAGTTGGCAGTCATTTCAGCACTTGGGCCTGGAGAAAAGTTTTAGGGTTTACTTGTAGGTGAGAGCCTGGTTGTATACAATGAATAGCTGGTCTTCTTGTCTTTTATCAGTCTTAAGATGTCTGTTAGTGGAAAGGTCATTAGCATATTACTATGGCTTTAGAAAAGATCATTGAGGCTTTGAGTAGGTAAAAAAGTTGTGGTTTATTGGTCAAAGGTGTTTGGTTTCCACTCAATTGTGTACTTAAATGCTAGACTGTAATTATTGGTACAAATCTTCAAATAGTAAATTGGAATCTACCAAGAGAAGCAGATACCTACCCAATATATTTTATCCCACAACCAGTCTCCTTCCAGCTTTTCAGCCTTTCAGCCTTTCTGTTTAT